TGAGCCATTTTTCAGCTCACCATCTTTTTGGCCCTCGCATGTAATAAAGTCTAGGTTAGTTCTTAATGTCTGTAGACTACTGGTTCTCAAAGTGGATCCCAGATCATTAGCATCGATATCACCTAGAAACTTCTTAGACATGCAAATATCAGGCCACACTCAAGGCCTATTGAATCATAATCTCTGTGGGCAGTGGGGGCAGGCGATAGACAGCAATCTGTGTTTTAACAATTCCTCCGAGTACAGAAAGTTTTGAAAGTCACTGCTCTACACTATCACTTCCTTTTCATTCCCAGAGATACCCCTTTATTTGAGGTACTCAGTGTTTCTCATCTAGACTATCACCATGGCTTCCTAACTGGTTTCCCTACTTCCTGTTATTATTCAGTTGAATTCTCTTCCCAACCACTATTGGACTAACCTTTCAACAGGTGCATTGAAAACAACAACAACAACAACAACAAAACATTAAGAACTCCTCGTCACCTACTGAATTAAGCATAAACTATTTGTCTGGTTGTCATGACCTCTCCACACTGTGTCTAATCATCCTCTTCATTCTTATCATCCACAACTAAGCTTCACACTCCATGCTCTACATTTCGTAAGTAAACAATGTACTCTCCACTGAACACTCCATACACTCTTGAGCTTTTTCATAGGTTATCCTGAATTGCTACCTCTTCTATGTTGCTAGAGTGGCTGGTGAATTCACTCAGCATACACTCATTCTTGGCCCAATATCCATGAACATACCTCACTCCACAATTAAACAGTAAGCTCCTTGAATTCATCACACCTTAGCTAGCAATACAGGTACCACAGAACCAAACATTATGACCTGAAATACTACATTGTTGGTAAGAGATCATTCATATTGGTCCCTTTTCCCAACCATTCCTTCAGTAATCCTTTAAGATCTACCTCAACTACCATCTCTCCCAAAATGCAGACTCCCCTCTCCAACTTGGCTTCTCAGAAGATGGAGAGGAGTAGTGCTGCCATAAGGAACAACACTCAGTAGTCAGCTTATTTCTGCCCTCTATGCATCTGTTTCCTGTTATCTTCTTTTCCTGACAGTATCTTCCTCATCAGCACCCTGCTACACCACCATGTTCAGAAGCCCTAAGACCAAAAGAGTTGAGACATATTGTCTCCCCCCATTGATTTCATTGACTTTACCCAGGTTAGGAAGTTACCACTGATTCATTTCTATAATTCTGACCATCCCCATTAAAACTGCCATTTTCTCAAACTGATTTCATACAGATTAGGAGAAATTAAGCTTTCTCAAAGCAATCAGATACTACCGACAAACCTAAATGAAATTGGAAAAGGTAGCATTTCATGTCATATTTGGGACAAGCAGAACTTCCTAGCATTTCTTATACTGGTCCACTTGATAATCCATAAGGCTGGTCCTTACAATGGAAATAGCAAAGACATCTTCTTGATCCCAGTCCATTTCCAGAAGAGGCCAGAAGGAGAAATCAGTCATTCCTCCATTTCTTTTTCCCATCAATTTCTGTCTCAATTCTCAAAATTTGGCCATTCAAAGCTAATATATAATCTGATGGAAATAATTGTGGATATTAAGGATTTTTACCATTTTGTATTTATAAAGTAACATGTAGGTTTTTAAAATGTATGCTTTTACATATCTTAAGTCATTCGATCTTTTTTTTTGCTTAACCAACTGAGCCACCCAGGCACCCAAGTCATTCGATCTTTATTTACCACAATCTTGAGGTGGCTCTGAGAGGTGAAGTGTCACATCCATGATCACATTCAAAGCAAGTTCTGTGGCTTGAAACTAAGAACTTTTTCCTTTCACCATGCTGTTCCTCATTAATGGTTAAAAGTTCCCACTAGAGAGAGCTGCATCTGATGGACAAGTTCTCAACCAATCTAAACTGAGGACCACAGTGGCCACTGCCTTCCGGATTTTGTAATTTCTTGTCATGGACAGTCTTTGCAGAAGACATAAACTTTGTCTTCTTCACCAAACAATGAATCCAGGGATTGTCAGTAAATTTTCAGGGTAAAATTTTGCTCTACTCAAGTGCCCTTTCTAGTTGACCTTTAAAAGGATCCTGAAGTTAGTTCTTATACGGAGTCTATTTTCTACCCATATATATTCCCAAACTACTTTAATTTATTTAATCACTGTAGATTTTCTCCAAGATTATTCTTTTAAGTAAAACCTGCCCATAAACTCAACCATAGGAAGGGCATACTCCACCCCAATCTTCCCCATGCATAAGCTCTACTGTATTAGGAGCTTGACTTTGGGATCAAGTCACCCCTGAGAATTCCAGCACTTTCAGAATTACCATACTCTGTAAACAAACACACATACAGGTCATTATTTTAAATTCCTTATTGCATCAACAAAAGATCACTGGGCTGTCACACTTCAGAACTATTAAGAGCTAATCTAACTACTCCTAATTTTAGCTAATCTAACCCAGAGACTTTATGCTATGTTCTATGGACATAACTTGTACCTCTTGAACCCTACCACAGGAAGGAGAAAGACAAAAGGACAGAAATCACCCATCCACTAACCCTCCTGTTATCCATTTTATACATTCTGTTCTAAATAATAACCCTTGGGGGCTGGGGGGAGTGGTGGAATGCTTTCCTTTTAAGGATTACTAATCTAGTTTAACTCCTTTATCTTATAAACATTAAAATGGAATTTAAGAGAAACCACATGTTCTGCCTAATGCTGACAAAATTATGCCTCGGATTCCATCTTCCATGTCCACTGCTCTTCATATTATACTATGTGACTGCTGGAATTACCTCATTAATTGAACATCTTCATGAAGATGTACTAGTATTAAGCATGTCAGATGACTGCAATGACTATTTAAGTTTGTGTTCGTAAACGGATATTTTTAAGTATCTTTTGCACCTGTGCATATTTCCACACTCACTAGCACGATGCAATGAACAAATCAGCAAAATGTCAGATAAGCTTTATCTCCATGTTTTTGGTTTCATCTTGATGACGGAGCAGAATTCTCTCTCAAAGCCCCCAGATGGGGTCACTATCGCATCCAGTCATCTTTATTAATTTAGAGAAAAAGGAGTATTTTGAAAAGTGACAATGTGATTCTTTTGTTAATTAATATACAATTGAAAATATTTATTTAAAATCTCTTATGTCTTTCTTCAGTAAGGAAAATAAAAGAAGTGCAGCGAGTGGCTCACCTAATGAATGATGTACAGAAGTAACTAACAAATGTGTACAGAACATAGGATGAAAATTCACAAACTTCTCTTGGCCATGCTAAGTCTGGCAGCTTCCATCATACAGGTTGAATTCTACTCATTTTTCAATATCTACAAGTCACAATCTTGTGACATAACTTGTCTCAATCTACTGTTGAAAGGATCAAGAAAACAATACCCTGTTTTCTCTGAAATATTCTCTAGCTTACTGATATATACAACAGGAGGAACACAAAACCTAGTAATGAAGTATTAGCATCCATTTCTTAAGATGACTGAAATAGCCTTTGGTTGTTTAGATATTACATACTCTAATGATAATCCCTAGAAGTAAAAACAATTGTCTTAAACAGCAGAGTAAATTCTTACAAAAAACAATTATGCTGTGAAAGTAAATTTTGGAGCCTTTCAGATATTTTCCAGGTGAGGACGGCTTCCTTAAAATAGTACATAAATGAGTATCACTAACTCGTTAACTTAAACATTACAAAGAAGAAGCAATGCATTAAGGTAAGCTAATACCTTTTTTGCTTTGGGAAGGTGAGTTCTGAAGGTTAACTATGTTTCATGGGTATAAAGTATTTAAAATTCAAGTCACATTTCAATATATTTTAGAAACTCTTTTAAATATGTACTAGTACATATAACAGTGATACATTGGAATGCGTTAGAAAATATAGCAATTGCAAATCATGCTATTATTGAGTGTCCATATTTTTCCAAAATAATTTTCAAGCATATTCTCCCATTGTTCCAGGGGTCAACACTTACCTGACATATTACATATTTTCTCACAAATATTTCAAAAACGTTTTTTCACTTAAGATTACTTATAGCAATTATCTGTATATGTAAATACATATATTTATTTTACATACATTTTTGTATTTGAAAGTATATTATATATATTGAAAAATGTGTCAGTTGACATTTTATAAAATTGGGGGTAATTACCTTGCAACTTGACACTAACCCAAAAAAGTTGGATTTATATATTTTTATATATTTTTGCAAGCTACCTATTAGGTAAGATTTTGTCTTCATTAAATGTTACACAAATATAAAGGGTTATCATGCAAAAGTTCCATATCCCCTGGTTCTTCATTAAACTGAATATAGATAGACATATAAAATTACAAAATTAAGATATATAAGCTTTGCAATCATTTGTTTTCATGGCTTGAGCTTGTCATTGTATCCTAATGGGTTTCGTCACAGTAAGTATCGGCAATTAGCAAGAGCAAGTTAAATATACACACATACACACATGTGCACAACCAATAAAGAGATACAAACACCCTAGATCATGCAGGAGATACACAAGGCCCCATTTTGGATATTTGATCCATATTACACACAAGCAATATTATATTTGGCAAAATAAGTCAGTAATGCTTTCCTTAGATGGATGTCTTTTGTGCTTTTTTGTTGTTGTTGGCCTGCAGCATGCTATTTGTTACTTTGCTGTAGGTTACCCCTGAAAGTACATATGTAAACCAGTACAGAATGCAGTTCTAGAATAGCTGTGGCATGAAAGGAAAAATGACAGAGAGAGAGAGAGACAGGGAGACTGGTGGGGGGTAGCGGGGAGAGACTGATCTCCCTGAGATTCAGTGGTAAAATTTCCTTATATACATTTTGGCCTTCATTTTCTTTTTGAAAACCTTGCTGTGGGGGTCGCTTGCCCCCTTCAGAGTACTGCGCAACCTTCGCAAGAGATCATTTATCACTAGTTTCCACCTTGGAGCAGATCTTCCTACCTTTCCAGTCTTAATTCTGTGAGAAATGGCTGCAAATCGGTGGTTGAGCTCTGAGATTTTGGGCTCTACTACTTTCCTGCAGTGGTCGCCGCGGTTTGCCATCAGGTTTGCTGCTTGGTCACGCGTGGAATCCACCTTTGGGCGCATGTCATTCATTTCAGCCTTTAAACGCTATATTCCGTGAGCAAGAGACAGGGCTTGACGTTAGTAATTAAATGGAAGTTGAGAGAGAGCCAGAGAGTGAAAAAGAGAAAGAGAAAGAAAGAACGAGTACATGCAAAGGAATACAGAGGGAGGAAAAAAAGCCAACATCCATAAAATAGAGGAGACTGAGAATGTGTGCCATCTCAGGAAAATAGATCACCGTCCTTGTTTAAGCTGAGTCTAGGCTTATTTTCAGTCTGAGGAAGGATGAGGGATATTTTCCTGACTTCTCTATGTTGCCCGCAACAATCATAATATTGAATATTTAGTCTTATTTTATCTTAACTCTACTCAATTTCATAGCTGTGGAGCAACCTTAGTATATGCTCAGGAGGAAAGGTAGCTGAAGAACAATTTTCTATTCCTCCTGGGTACTTTTGAGTTCCTTTTTATTATATTGAGTGTCACGGGGAAAAATGGATTTTCCAACAGATAAGGATTCTGTGTCACAGACAGAGGGAGTGAGGAAGGTTCTGCCTGACTCAAGGGGTCAGAGAGGGTGTATGTGAAACCACTCAGGTCCTATTAATTCAAAGGCCTTGAAGGAAATTCACCATAAGATGGCATTCCTTAACCACACATCAAAGGACGAGAGAGAGTAAGATAAGGTACACACAACAGAGTGAATATGTTTTGGGGATAGCCTGAAATACATCAACAGTTTTTCATTAAAAATAAACTATAATCTTGGGAAAAGAGTAATTTTCATAAAAAAGAAACAAATGAATTGTTCAGACAGAAACTACAATTTTTGAGTGTTAAATAGCAACCCACTAGTTAATTACCATTATTTTGGCAAAACAAAATAAGGAATCATTAATTTAAACGGAATTTGTTAAAATTCAACTCTTCCTATTTACTTTTGAAAGATGTTATCAAATGGAGATAACATAGCATCAATAAGATAAATTCACACATTATACCTCTCATATCCTTTTATAGGCACCACTTTTGTTTTTAAAGAAGATTAAGTTGCCTTTCAGAAAGATGACTCAGGACATCCTAATAATTGGCTTCAATACACAAACAGAGAACACAAAGCCATGTTTATTTTACATATAGTTAAAAATAAAAACATCCAGATTTATATAAGCTCAGTACTGTTACTAATTACGAAGATTTGGATATTGCAGAGGCAAAATGTCCAGATGACTGGATTTCAGGTGTTTACTCAGATAGGCTGTGAATGATACCGGGAAACTGATCCCTATGTTAGATATAAGAACACAGTACTAACAAGTCAAATGGGCAGGAATTTGCAAAATGACACCAAAATAAATCCTGGAATCCCTTTGTCATCAGAGTTTGTTTTGGGTAATTAGGTGAGAGATGGATATGAACAGATATCCAGATTACAAAACTCTTCAAAGTCATTAACCCCCATGTGAATTAAGAAAGTAGGGAGGGAAGGAGAATAGGAGGGGGGAAAGAAGGAAGAGAGGAAGAACTTTGTTCATTCTTATTAAGAACTCCTTGATGATCAACATAATTGGTGTGCAGTTAGAAAATTACTTTTCATAATATTTTATTTGCTACCTTAAGTATGTCTTCTTTTTGCTGAGGTTTCTTTTTCTCAGATTCATCCAAAAGTGCTTCAGCCTGAATGATCCAGTTTGTGATGTAATCCACATTCTGGTCAAAGTTTTCCATGTGTTTCCGGTATTCCTTAATTTTACAGAGATATACCATGATATAATATTGGTTAGATAATATTCTTCAAAGATTTGTCCTACTTTCTATAATGTTAAAAGGCAAAAAAAATTAGTATCAGTCAAATCATACTTAGGTGTGGTCTCCATATAAAATACAGCAGAGACATGGCAAAATATTAAAATATAGTTATAGGTGTTAAGAGCCACCATTTAAGTGAAGTTGAGGAATGTGCAGACATAAATGTCATTATTCAAAGCATACATAATTTCCTTCTCATAATGGAGAGGGGTTGAAAATCCTCTAGCCTCTTCTCTTACCAACAAAAGGTTTAACCACTCTTCAGCTCGGGAAGTGACAGCTATCCAGTTACTATTCAGAAGACTCAGTTTATCTTCCACCAAGGTTTCCTTCTTGCCCAAAACCATTTTCAAGGCCTCTCCTAGCTCTGTGACACTCTTCAGGTGAACCTTCTGTTTCTCAATCTCTTTCTGAGTAGCCTGTGAAAAGGACAGTATTTGAGCTTGGAGTAATATACTGTAGTCTTTAGATTTAATGCTTTTGAAATGGCTGTGAGTATGGTTACTGTGGTAAGATTTTTCAATGATTTAAAACTTCCATATGTCTTTATGAATGATGAAAATCATACCATATACATTGTAGTTTCCTTACTGGGTATATATAAGCATATATGTACACAGAAACATGATGAATTTCTATTTATGATTGTTTACATTTAACAGATATACATATTGTTCATCTAAACATATTTATATTAATTTGTAAATGTACTGGGTGAAGACAGACCTTAGAAACCTCATCCACAAATAAGCAACTGCTTTTAGAAAATTCAGCAATTAGTGTGCTCTTGTATTTCTGCAGTAGAAATTTTCAGCATTTTGGTGCCACAAACCTATTTGGAATCTGGTGAAACGTAAGGACTCTTTCTCATAATAATATTTTTTAAAGATTTTATTTCTTTATTTGACAGAGAGAGAATGTGCACAAGCAGGGGGAGCAGGAGAGGCAGAGGGAGAAGCAGACTCCCCGCTGAACAAGGAGCCTGATGCGGGGCTCGATCCCAGGACCCCAAGATCATGACCTGAGCTGAAGGCAGATGCTTAACCAACTGAGCCACCCAGGCGCCCCTCTCATAATAATATTTTTTAAAAAATAAATTTAAGTCCACTGGATTTTAAAGAAAAGGAGTTCTACTGGAAAACAACATACAAAATATCTTTTTAAAACCTGTAAGATAGTAATAACTGTCTTCTTGCCTAACGTGTGTAACTACAATAATCTAGCAGCAGATCTTTAGGATAATTTGAAAGCAGTGATGACCATAACTGGTGTCTTGGAATTTATACAATGACTAGAACGTGATGTAAAATTATCTGCCATTTTTACTGATGGCAAAGTTGCAGGAAATGCAGCTATTACTGGGGTTTGCTGCTCACATTCATCATTGAAAAAAAATACTTAATTTCAGTTAGAGGTCTGTGAAAATAAAGAGGTAATATGAAAACCCCTAAGAAAGCACCACCACTTTCGAAGACTTGATTTACAAAACATGAAAACAAGCACATTTAATATTAGAAATTATGTAGAAAGTTGATAGAAAAACTGATCCTGGTACAAATGTCTACAGTCAGCTCTACCCCCAGCCCTTTTCTGGTGATGTATCATGGCTGACCAGGTGACCACCTTGCACTTCCCTGCCTCTGCCCTGATCCCTTTCTTGTCCTCACTCAATTGTGGGACATTTCACTGGGGAGTAAGCCAGACCAGATTCTCACGAGAAGTTTAACTGAAAGATACAAGGACGGTGATAACACACCAGCTAAGTCATTTAGAAATGGAAGAGATGTTTTCACCACAGCAAACCAAAGCCATAGTAAGACAAAATCACTGGGAACAGCAACAGGAAGAAAGAGGAGGAAACCCACCTGCAAAGAGGCAAATGAAACATGCACAGAGAATAACAGAGGTGGTCCAAGTAATCGAGACTGAGAGCGAGGGTCTCTATGAGGCCAGCTTGTATCTCATCTTTAATTTCTAGATGCTCTATGGTTGTCTTTCTTTCACATCCTCAGGTCTGTTGTACTCAAAATCACTACATATACACATTTTGTTTTTGCCTTTCATATCACAAAAATAGGGGGGATAAATTTGGTAAAAAGACTGTATAAAGTAATTTGTGCACAAAAATACTGTTTCTCCTATCCCAAAATAATCTTCTGTATTTGTGTTTTTCTTTTCCAATAGAAAAATATCTGAAATTCAAGTAATTATTGCCAAATGCATTTATTGGCTACCGTGTAAAGGGTTAGCTGTGATGCAGGTGTCATCTGTAATACATGGGTGAACTTAGCTGTTCATAGAAGGAATTCCTTCATGTAGCAATCATAAATGTTACTGAGCTCCTACTAAAGACATCACTGTTGTAGCAATGACATAGGTGATTCTACTTAATGTCTTTAAGAAAATTAATGAGAAATGCCTCCTTTGCATGAAAACAGCCCCTCTGGAGTTTGACTTGTGTGTGGTCATGGGCTAGATTTTATCCCTTTCATTCCTTTCATCTGCATCCTTGTGTAGAACACAACCTTTACAACCGTATATGGTGGCCATTGTTCTATTCACAATAAAATGACAGAGAAAGTCTCTGTCCTTATAAAACTTATACTCAAGATGTATTTGTAAAAGATATGGAAAGATAGGCAAATGAACATGCCCTCCTTCCTACATTCATTCCAGACTAGCGGCTTGTCACCAGAGATTATTATTTGCGAAGATAACACCTCACAAAGTTGACTCTTACTTTGTGTTTGGATTGGTAAAAACTGTCTTAAAGATGACACTATGTTTTGGCTTTGATATAAAAAGTTGTATAAACAGACATTTGTCTTTTCTATGCCAGGAAATGCAATTGAAGACCATGGAAATTTCCAAATCTCAGAAGGGTTAGAAGTTTTGAATTTAGGAAATATTGTTGCAGAAAGTTCATGGATCACAACCAACTATTATGGATTAAACATCTGCCAAAATTCTATAGCTAATTTTCAAGAGAAAATGTTTAATGTCTAGGGATACTTCATTCAGTTAATGAAAAGAATAAAATAGGAAATGTAGATAATTTCTAGTGTCACTTCAGTTTCCCCAATATTATAGGATACAACTCAAAGGCATGAAAGTTATTGTCATGATGAACATGAACTTGAAAAAAAGCAGTGACTATCGTGGTGATAATAGCACCAAAAGTGATTCACTCTTTCCACTCTTAGTGTAAAAAAAAACCTAGAGTTAAATCTTCACATTTGGCATTCAAGAACTGGTATTAAATAATTTGTATAAATTCTATTTTTCATTAGGAAAAATATTGTGCTCATTGAACAGATTTTTATTTTTCCTACAAAAGTATTTTTCCCTTAGTTTCAGGTGTATAACATTTACTTTAAATTAAAAGTATGACTTTAAAATATTATCATCTTAGACTTCAAAAAATATACTGATCTGACTTTCTGAAGATCTCAATAAAGTATCAATTAGTGAATTTGCTTTTGGTGCTTAATATCCACTCTGTACTGTGTCATTCACTGCCAGAGATTAGAAAGGAGGTAGTCTTTGCATACCCTGCTTTAATTTTACCCACAGTGTAGCTGCAGAGAAAGGCTAAAGCACAATCAAGTAATTTGGCATCATACTAGAAAGAATGTAATTGTTTGACAAAAATGAGTCATGGCTGGGATGAGCATGAATGGCTTTAAGGGAGGGGGGATACTTGGAACTGAAGTTCACCATTAAGGATCGGATGGTTTTGATTGACTACAGACCAAGTGCCAAACAATCCAGAAAATATGAAGGTCAGAATCAAAAGCCACCAAAAGAAAAATATGGAGTACTTACTGGAAAATAAAAAGGTAAATTTTATGACGTCAAGGAACTATTCCTTGGCTCTAATAGTTTCCCATACAATAAGAATGTCTATACTTGCTGATGTATTGAGAACTGAACTACTGGACTGAAATCCAGCTACTGTTTTGGCCATTCTTTCATACCCTTACTCATGCCTCTCGAAGGGATGTAGTTTCTTAAGCGGTTGGTGAGATGGGGAGAAAGAGCTGATCAAACATGATACTTCCTTCTCTTAAAAAGCATCCAATCCAATCCAATCCTCAGCACGCATGCCTTCTTTGGCTGCTGTGTTAGGTGAGGGATGGAGAAGGTCCTGAAGGGTCTACCCTAATGAATGGACAAGTTCAAATTCAGTGACTAAATTGATGAAGTCATAACTCAACTTTTAGGGATTTTTTTTTTTCAATCTTGTGGTAATGTGACAGCTTCTAGGGTTGATTTTAAGGCTGAATAAAAAACAAACTTATCACATTCAGTTTTATTTTGACCTATGACATGGCCATAAGTCCAATTTCGGGAGTTTCACCAGCAGCTTAAGGTGAACTACACTCTTGGCACCAGGGGTTTTTAATGACATAGAAAAAATACCAGCTAAGAGTACTACTCAGTTTGAATATTAACTGCCATAAAATCTAACATACTTTTACTGTCCATATGTTTAATTTGTAACATTTGATACCAGTTCCAGCATAGAGTCAAAATATTAAACACTAATTTCCATGATTTCAAAGACATAAATTTGTTGTCGACTCCTTCTAGCCATAAAAATTTTCAAATCCTACTCCAATTTCCTTATAAAAAAGGGGCGGCATAGGTTAACTTCTCCTAATAAAGATACCCATGTGTTCAAGTGAAGGATGGAAAATACATTCTGATTCATTCTTCATATCTGAAAGTTAAATCACTTGAGTCTAATTTAAAATGGCATTAGGTTCAGGATTCACTCATCAGCTTATCAATTCATTTCACTGATGGGTTAGCAGGATGGGAAAACTCATTCTGTTGGTTTCTAATGATCACACCGTCATGAGATGGAAACATTTTTGTTAATTTTATTTAAAGGTGAAATAGTAAAAAGTGTAAGATTAATTATCTGATCCCACAGGAACACATCCACAACTATTTTCTGACAGGCGCAGAGAAAAAGCCCACTTGGGCTTGACCTCTCACATTTTCAGAGGTCCAATGGCTTCCAAAAGTTTTCCTGGAATTTCCCAGTGACTTAGATTCTTAAGATAACTCCTCTGACTTACTATCATTCCCACTCCCCTCCCCCAACCTTCTTAATCTCCAAATGTCTCCTGTCCCATAGGTTCTATGGTCATTCAGTCCCACATTTAGTTAAAAAAAAAAAAAAAAGTGCCACAATACCATTTCCATATATCTTCCTCCCTTTACTAAAATGCTACTGAATTCTTGTTTATTTTAGCTTTTTCTTAATCTCTTATGCAAGTTCCCTCTAATATGGATGAAGGGTTAACTAACACACCCAAAATGATGTTTTCAAATGTTCCCCTTCCCAAGTGGATTCGGCATTTTGTTAGTCCACATAATTATACCATTTCTGGTCATCAGGAATGGGAGA